GCACCACATCCCCAAGTAGCCACTCCCTTGACCACGGATGCCCAGTAGCAGCAGCGGTGTGTACTATCTCCAAGATGCACTGCAGAAATTCTCCAAGACTTCTTAGACAGCACCTTCTGAACCCACAACCACTTCTATCTAGAAGAAGGGCAGCAGATACATGGGAACACTGCCACCTGCAAGTTCCACTCCAAGCCGCTCACCATTGTGACTTGGAAATATATCACCATTCCATCACTATTGCTGGGTTAAAATCATGGAATTCCCTCCAAGGCATTGAGAGTCATCCTACAGCATGTGAACTGCAGCGGTTCAAAAAGGCAGCTCACCATCACCACCTCAAGGACACCTGGGGGCAGGCAATAAATGCTGACCAACCAGTGGCATCCATACCCCATGAGTGAATTGTATAAAAAAACAAAATCAGCGGTCACACTTCCAAAACACTGACTATGTTGCATTGCTTGTAAAGTGCTTTGTGCTGACCTGAGGTTGTGGAAGGCTTTGTAGAGACATGAGTCAATTTCTATCTCTGATTCCTTCTTGTATCACTACTGTTGCTGTGATTAGCTATTGCACCACTGTAATTGCGTTTAACTCTGCTGAGTATGTTTTTGTTTGTTACCTTGACAGTGTTTCTTTAAAATATATTTGTATACTCCTGTTTTTCTTAGTACCCAATCCATGTGATTATTTTGTGGCCATGCACACTGTATTTATCGTACAGCAAGGTGAGATATGTGGCTGTGTAGCCTGGTGGGCTCATTGTGACTGTGACTGCTTTTTGTTTGATACCTGCATCGGTATTGACATAGCAAAACGTGGTTCTAAACAAGAAAATCTCAACTACTTATTGTTCCAATATCTGGTTTGTTTTTAACGCCATGCCTTTCACCATGTATGAGCATTATAACATTGGAATATAAAAATAGAAGAATCTTACTAAAATTATACAAGGCACCGTACAAGGGATATCGTTAACAGGTCCCCTCTTGTAAGGAAATATATATTGGCATTGGAGGCCTTCTATAGAAGGTTTTCTAGGCTCAATCCAGGTATGGACGGGTTTTCTTACAAAAAGAGAGAGTAGGTTGGACCTGTACACATTAGACTTTCAAAGAATGAGAAGTGGCCTTATTGAAACATACAAGGTTCTTGGTGGGCTTGACAGTGTAGATGCAGAGAGGTTATTTCCCCAAGTGTGAGAGTCTAGGAGCAGAGGACATAATGACAGAGTAGGGAGTTGCTCATTCAAGATAGAGATGAGGAAGTATTCTTTCTCTGAGGATAGGGACTCTGTGAAATCCTTTACCTGCAAGAGCTGTGGAGACTGGGGTCATTAGGAATATTCAAAGCTGAGAGAGATTTTGAATTAGGAAGGGAATTGAGGGTTATGGGGGAAAAAGGCAGGAAAGTAGTATTGAGGGTTATTAGATCAGTTCTGATCTCATTGAACGGGAGACCAAACTCCATGGGCTGAATGGTCCATATCGTCTAAGAACATAAGAGCAGGAGTAGATCATTCAGCCTCTCCATCCTGCCTGCCATTCTATAAAATCATGCAGATTTGTCCAGGCCTTAGCCTCTCTTTCATGACAGCTTTTCATAGCCCTTAACTCCTCAATATTTCAAAAATCTAGCTCTTCTTTAAATACTCTGATCTAGCCGCCACAATTTACAATTCCAGACATTTATTATCCTGTTGGAGAAGAAATGCTTACACATCTGTTTTAACTGACTGTCCCCATACACTGTAACTGTCCCTTGGTTTGGTACTCCCCCACTAGTGGAAATGTCTTCTCAACATCTACCTGTCAAGACTGTATGCTTCAATGAGATTGAAACCCTCATTCTTCCAAACATTCATGATTAAAGGCATAAGCTATTTAACTGTTCTCAATAAGTCAACCCCTTCATCCTATGATTCAATGAGGTGAATCACTTTTTTGAACTGCCTCCAATGTTGATATATTGTTTCTTAAATACAGGGAGCAAAACTATACACTATACATGTATCCCCACCAATGCCCTGTCCAGTTATAATGAGACTTTCCTATTTGTTTAAACTCCAACCCCCTCCCACCCACAAATAATAGCCAAAATTCCTGCATCTTTCTCCATTCTTGTTTCTTACATCTGTCTGACTTTTATGTATGTTGACTTTCTCTCATTCTTATCTTTCCTTTCCCTTTTTTTTTGCTTCTCGCTTACCTTTTGCACCTTTTCACTCATTTCATTATGAATTTTCCATTTAGTAGCAGTATGAGGTAGGTGGGCTAGAGGATGGGCCCCTCCACTCTCAGGACATGAAACAGAGTTTCTGAAGACAACAGCCTTTACCTTCAGAATGGGGTTTCATTGTTAGAACTTTCAAAAGAGAATGGGGAGATGGACTTGGATAAAGAGTGGGAGCAGGGATTTTAAAGAACATGAGTGCAGTAAATTGACTAGCTCCTACACTTTGGGGCTCTAAATATTTCACACTGAATAGTGCTGTTAGTTGTTAAGTCACTCATTCTGGAAAGTGCAAGTTTAGTGGGGATGCAGAATTGTAATTGATCTTCAATTCCCACTTTTATCGTTGTCAACCAACACAATCTCAAAGTTTTTTTTTCTAAATTAATTCATGGGATGTGTGTGTCACTGGCTAGACCAGTGTTTATTGTCCATCCCTAATTAAGATATGCTGCTTGGATCTGAGGCATTGAAAAGTGACTGCTCCCTTTGGATCACTGCTCAGGATGAAAAATGAGATTAGAACAGTGCCAAATCTATCTGGCATAAAGTAACTATCTTCTGAGTTTAAGCACATTTGCATTTATATTTACAGGTTTACAGTATATTTAGTCACCCACGCACTGATCTGCGGTTATTATCAAGATAGTAGGAACTGCGGATGCTGGAGAATCTGAGATAACGAGGTGTAGAGCTGGATGAACACATTTCTGATGAAGGGTTTAGACCCGAAACGTCAGCCTTCCTGCTCCTCTGATGCTGCTTGGCCTGCTGTGTTCATCCAGCTCTACACCTTGTTATCTGCGGTTTTTATCAAACTATTTTGCCAAAACAATGGATAACTGGAAGCATGACAAAAGTGGTGATCACTTGGGAAGGTTATACTTTGTTTATTTTCTACATACAAAATTAAAATAATGCATGAAAGTAGAGGCAAAATTGGATGATTCATATGGGTGAGAAAATGAGTGCATTCTTTGAAGCTCAATTTGAAGTTAAGTTTTATTCAGTGTTTAATACCAAAATTTTAATTGTTGGCTGCATGGAATTGCTTCAGGTTTTTTGAAAACTATTTCTCAATCAAATCATGGGCACTTTTTTTTCCTCCCAGAATTTGCTTTTCCTGTTTAAACTCAAAATACATCAATTATTTCTGACCTCCTATTTTCATGGTATTAGTTTCTCTCCAGTACCTAGCTGAAATGGCTATTTATGATTTGCAGTCCTAAGTAATACAGACTTCATACACTGGTACTCTTCAGTATTGAAGTCGCTATTGTTTGTGTTAGCTTTGGCCATGATGGTCCAATGCTATTGACCTCCTACATGTGAAGCTCTGCAGCCAGCAGCAAGCCTAAAGTAGATTTACTGGTTTGCTAAGACCGCCACCAAAAAGATCTGTTCTCAATGCTGGATGTTCTCAGACAGGTGGATTGGCAGCAGCTGCATGAGCATCTTGTCATTGGCATGAAAGCCCCAAGTAAAAACAACTTTAGAAATTCTGTACACAGAATTCACTCTTCACACTCTATTTCAGAGAATCTTGTCTTTTCCAAAAGCTCTTTTGGTCCTGTTCAAGATATTGGGTCCTGATGATAATCCTACTGCCACCACATCTGAATCCAATTTTGTTCTCGCTCAAGTAGGTTTCTAATGGCAGTTTTAATTGCGATCATGTTGACTATGCCTCTGTATTCAGATCAAACTTGCATTTGTATGACACAAGTAAAGTACTGCGGGTGCTGGATGTTTAAACAGCAAAAATTAGAAATATTAAGCAAGAACAGACCTAACATTAACCTTTCAACAGAACTGGGACAAGTTGTTCCTACTCCCTTTGGCTGTGCTCTGTCAAATTTTGTTATTTAATGCTTTCTTTCCTACTTCTTTTATTCTTTTACCCCTTCCCCACTATACCCACTTCATTTTTAACTTTCCCATTTCTAAAGACTGAAAAGTCTGATGTGAGATCATCTCTGACATCGTCATAACTGGCAGACATTGTTGTTGTCATTGGAACCTTTGCAGCTGCACCATCTCTGGCTGCCTTCTGAGTACGTTGAATATTACCAGTCTACCATCAACAGTAAAACGAAGGGTCACTTGAAGCATTAACTCGGATTTCTCTGCATGGATGCTGCCAAACCTGCTGAGCTTTCCAGCAATTTCTGTTTTTGTTTGATTTTACAGCATCCACAATTCTTTTGGTTTTTACTGAGTCATATTTCTTTGTTTGTAATGCAGAAGTTTTTTTTTCCATTTCTCTTTTTAGCATGTCCTTGTATTATTTGTGCTAGCCACCTTGATTTAAGTTGCCCTAAGACAGTTCCCCCCCACTTTAGATGATCAGCTATGGGATTCGGTTTTCACCACCATGGGAGACATGGCCTGGACTTTCTGAAGAATTGTCTCAATGCTGTTGAACCCAATACAATGCAAGATGTTACTTGTGATTTTGTTCTGCCATCAAATTCTTGTTTTGGGCTTTCTTTAATGGGAATATTCCAGAGTTTTTATGTGGCTCTTATTGCTGATCCAGGGTTCTACATTATGTATTCTTACATGGTGCTTAGAATGTATAGAAGTAGGCCAATTGGTTTCAAGTGATCTATACCATGCCCTGACATAAGTGCAAGTATATGAGGTCATCACTGTAGCCTCACTTGAAAAATTATTAACAGTCCATTTAGAGAAAAAGTGCATTAAACGTTTGTGAATAAAGGTCTCAAAATTCAAAAGAATGTTTGTTTGTTTATGCTTTGCAGATCCTCCTGTCGTAAAGCAGTTGCGAAGAACATATCGCTACTTCAAAGATTACAGGCAGGTGGGTATATCCAGAATACGCAGCAAGCACAGCAGATTTTTGTGCTGTTATGCAGAGTGTCATGGTACATTTATTCATTGACCTGTAGGTGCGTTATGGAGTTTACCGATGATCAGGTATCCTTCTCTACAAGTCACCTGGCAAGTTTCTAACACCACAAGTCCATATCCATGAAAGTGGTGGGAAGTTGTTGCTCAGTTGCAGACGTTTGATGGGTTGAGACTTCACATGTACAGGCTACCACATAGAAGTTGGGCACATTGGTCTCAACCCCCATGTTACTAATTATCACCTCACGCTACAACCTTTCATCAAAGCTCTTCATCTTCTATCCAATTTATGAATTTAGTAATCCATTACATTCACTGAGGCAAGAAGTGACCATGAACCAGTTCTCACTTTCAACCTATGCAGTACTATTGGGTCTTGCTGCTTGGCCTGCTGTGTTCATCCAGCCCTGCACCTTGTTGTCTTTAATTTATTGGGAGCTGTTTTGTCAGTTGACTTGTTTTGTTAGGATCTGTATCTGTAAGTCTGTTAAGGTATGCAGTTGCCAAAACCAGTAATAACTTTTTCATTTAATGGATGTTGTTGCATTTTGGCAGCTATGGGCTGGGACAGGGAGTGGGGATGTGTGAAAAAATGTTAAAATGAATCCTTCATTAATGTAGTGTAACCAGTGCTGCTGATTATAAGGTTGAAGCGAACCAAGTGATGCTGATATTGGGGTTCCCTGAAGTTTTGTTGGAAGGAAAATGCATTTGACCTTGGATATGGACGCCCATTACTGACCAATAGTCTGGGCTGTACGCCTGGTCTAAAACTGCACAAATTGGTACCCCTGCCATCCAAACCTGAGTGGTTGCCACAGGAGGCAAAGAGCAAAACAAGCTGACTGCTACATTCTTGCTACACCTCCACAGTTAATAGCATATTAAGATTACTTGTGTTGGCATTGATGGATAGTAAGATCCTGCTGTGCTTGGTTGACCTTTGGTATATTTTGAGGTTCAGGTGTATATTAAACCCCTGACAGCTGGGGTTGGACTCTCATGCAGCAGATTTGTGAATGCAACAATAGAAAACCAGTAGCACTGAGGTTGTCATCAATAGCTGGGCGGGAAGCTCTGAAAAGAAATCTTCCTTTCCCTGTCGCTTTAGACTGATCAAAGTATTTTTTAACAAATTTGCCCTTGTAATATAAGCTGTTGCATGTTTCTTTGATCCGACTCTTTTCTTTTATTCCTTTCTTTCCTCAGATGATAATTGAGCCCACCAGTCAGAAGTTGTTGCCAGACCCCCTTAAAGAGCCATATTACCAGCCACCGTATACTGTTGTGCTAGAGCTAACAGATGTGCTTCTGCACCCAGAGTGGTCGGTAAGTCTCTCAACACCTGGTCATACAGCATCTCTTGGCAGTGTTCACCACAGTGAATGCATATGCAATAAATGGGTTTGACAAGATACATTAAAGGAGAAGGGAAGTCTAAGGATAATACTTCTGTTGAAAGTCTTCCTTTTATTCCAGCTCTTAAAAGACTTTTTAAGTTTAGTTTTAAACCATCATCACAGAAACGTGGTATCTGGTCACTTACCTGATTAGTTTCTTTGTTTGTTTATGAGGACTTGATTCACAAATTGGTTTCTGTCTAACATTGCAGTGGTAGTCTATACTTCAAAAATTCTTTCTGGCTCCTAATGTTCTGAAAGGCACCATATGACTGCAAGTTATTTTTGAAATGTTGATTTGGATTTTTTGTTTTTTTTTTGCATGCATGGAAACTAATTCAGATCAGCGGAGAATACATATATCTTGCAACTTTCCTTTTGCTAATTCTGTTTCTGCCCCTGCCTCAAGGCATTGCTTCATATTGAAGTATCTCGGTTACCGCCTCCATTATTCTTGCTTTGCCAAAAGTCTCATTCTTTGTGTGTTAAGCCAATTGTTTTGCATGTTAGCAGACTCCTGTTGGCTCATGGATACATTGAAATGGAGTCTGCTCCAAACTCTCAACCAGTGGCACATGTGCAATTCCAGTCAATGCTTTAGAGCAGAAAGCAAGGCTGCTTTTGTCTGTCTCCTGCACCCACAGAGGTCCTGAGAACAATTTACCAGCCCTACTCTTGACCCATGTTAAACTTGGAATTGCTTGTCTATATGGATGATGCAGTCGCTACTCCTTGAGTTAGTGTGCTTAAGTGTTTCATTGTATCTGATAAAACCCACACCTGTTGAGTGGGCAGTCCCTTGTAATGTGAACACCTGAATATAGAGCAGGTGGTTGAAAGGAGCTGAGGACTCCCCATATGGTACTGTTCAGAAGGGAGAGATTGCAGTGATATGCATTACACTGTCTTTCCACACTGTAGAGATCTAATGAAAGCATTTGCCCTTGGGTGAAATGAGTTTTTTCTTTATTATTTAATGTTACTGGAAATGCTTCTTTATTATACTGCCTTTGTGTGGACAGTTTGTTAAAAGTTATTGCAGTTTCAGTCCATTGCTTTTCAGTAATGTTGTGAGCCATGTGGAGTCATTCCACCTGATCACATTGCATCACTTGCCTTTGGGATTCAGATTGGATCTGTTCGCACAGCACGGCTCCACTTCAAAGGGCTGACTTGTATAGTCTTTTTGTACGTTAAATGCAAAGGGATAATTTTCTTTTCTAAATGTAGCCTACCTTGTCTCACCTTCCTGTGTTTCACCTACTGATTATACTACTTGAATTTTATTTCCCTGGTTTATTTAAAACTTAGCAAATCTGAATATCTAGAGATAAGATGTTTGATAAGGAATTTTGTGACTTCAAAAGATAATAAAATGAGAACCCCAAAATATTGCTGTGACATTGCAATCCATCTTAGCTGGTTGTGCTTCAGTCTTTGAAGCCAAGGCAGTTTGTTTATTTTTGCATTTGTTGTTCTTCTTCTCGTGTACTTCTCATTCTTCCTGTTTGAATGACATGCCTAAACATTCAAGAAAGGAGTGTGAGCTTTGTAGTCCACTAAATGAATGATCTTAATAGGAAAATCAAGACTTGGTATCTACGTCTTGAGAAAAATGCAAATTAATGGAAATTTGAATTTAGACTTCATGTTTGACTATCATAGGATAGAATCCCTACAGTGCGGAAGCAAGCCATTCGGCCCATGGAGTCCACACCGACCTTCCGAAGAGCATCCCACCCGCATCCACCCCCCCCCCCCCCCCCCCCTCCCATGCCTGCACGTCCCTGCACATTATGGGCAATTTAGCATGGTCAGTCCACCTAACCTGCACATCTTTGGACTGTGGGAGGAAACACACACAGACACAGGGAGGATTGTGCAAACTTGACACACAGTCACCTGAGGCTGGAATCGACCCTGGGTCACTGGCATTATGAGATAGCAGTGCCTTGATCTGAAGATTAATCTCAATTGATCATAGAATCCCTACAGTGTGGAAACAGGCCCTTTAGCCCAACAAGTCCACACCAACTCTGAGCATTCCACCCAGACCCATCCCCCTATAACACACATAATCTACACATCCCTGAACACTATGGGCAGTTTACCATGGCCAATCCACCTAGCCTGCACATTTTTGGACTGTGGGAGGAAACCGCAGCACCCAGAGGAAACCCACGCAGACACTGGGAGAATGTGCAAACTCCACACAGACAGTCGCCTGAGGGTGGAACTGAACCTGGGTCCCTGCCGCTGTGAGGCTTCACAGCTCTCTGGATTGGGATTGATCTTCTGACTTAAGCGAGTGCTACCATTGAGCCAAAACTCTACCTGAATTTGATAAACATTTTAGTAATAGTGCTATTTTAATTGACTCACTCTGTCCCTTGTCTTTAAGTTAGTCACAGGTTGGCGGTTTAAGAAGAGGCCAGGTATAGACTACCTATTTCAGCAGTTGGCACCATTGTATGAAATTGTTATCTTCACCACAGAAACGGGCATGGTGAGTTTTGTTTATCCACTGATTTTGCATCATATGTTTCAAAATACATGAAGTTGTCTTCACGCTGATATTTTTTCTCCTTTTAATCTTGTTCCCATGGATTGGCCAGTGTAAGTGAGCAAAGAACAGCAAGGTACCGGAAGCAACCTAAAATCCCTGAATGAACTATCAGCTGGAATCTGAAGAGAAATACGTAGTTGGGAACGAATGAACTACTCCTGGATTAGCTTTAAAGGGAATTGGTTGCTATTCAAAGCTACAAAGTAACTAGATGATTGTAACTTCAAATTTCTGAATAGCATAGTTGCAAAATATTGTATATAATTGGTTACAACCAGTACACAGTTTGTTAAATCATGTTCTAAAAGAAATAACTAATTTTAACCATAAATACTTCAAAATTCAAACTCGAACTAATTTGCTAGGCTTTGCAGCTCTTAAATATACAATAGGAGGTGTGTAGACATTTTAAAAGTTGCAGTTAACAGCAAGTGAGTAGGTTCAGATACATCACTGCCGTAGAAAATGGTTGAAGCCAAAACATTGTTTTCAAGGAGGAGTTTGATAGACGTGATGTGGAAGTCCCGGTGTTGGACTGGGGTGACCGAGGTCAGAAATCTCAACACCAGGTTATAGTCCAACTAGTTCATTTGAAAACACAAGCTTTCGGAGCCTCGGTCCTCCTTCAGGTGTTAGTGAGAGAGGTATAATCAGGCACGGAATTTATAAGTAAAAGATCAAAGATTCACATCATGGAGGATGTACTAAACCAACCTAAGATGCTGTTAAATCTTTAATCAGTTAGAAGGTTTTAATCGATTTAAGATGTATATGTAAATCCCCAAATTCCTTTCAAGTCATGGTCCTAAGAGAACTAAAGGTTTTATCAGTGTGAAGAAGAGGTGACATTTTAGGTCAGACAGTGCATGTTAGGTGTGAGGCCTTGTTTAGAATCTGTGTGTTTTTTTACTTTGGAGTCGGACAAGCCCTACGTTTACACAGAATCTGCTTAGATGAGGAGGAATGAGACGGATGCCTGAAGGTGTTGAAGGACGCCCTCATAGATACGGTGCTCAATTCATGAATCGCCAGTTCTGACGTGCCCCAGCGAAAAACCGTAATGACCACCTCAAGGCCGACAGGGGATATGTCTGATAGGGTACCCTTCGTTGTCCAATACTTCCCGGGAGTGGAGAAACCACGCCATGTTCTTCACAGCCTTTGACACATTGACAATGAGCACCTCGCCAAGATCTTCCCCACGCCTCCACTTCTCGCCTTCAAACGACCGCCAAACCTTAAACAGACCATTGTTCACAGCAAACTACCCAGCCTTCAGGACAGCATCGACCACAGTACTATGTAGCCCTGTAATGGTAACCTTTGCAAGTCATGCCAGATCTTCGACATGGACACTACCGTCACACGTGGGAACACCATCCACTACGTGCACGGCAGATATTCATGTGACTCAGCCACCATTGCCTATCTCATATGCTGCAACAAGGATGCAAAATCGTGCAGGTGCTATGACAACAGATGAATGGACAACAATCACCAGACTGGAATGCTCCTTCCCAGTTGGGGAGTCACTTCAGCTGTGAAGGACCTTCAGCTTCGGATCTTCGGGTAAACATCCTTCAAGGCGGACTTCGAGATACACAACAATATAGAGTAGCCAAGCAGAAGCTGATAGGCAAGTTCGGTACCCATGAGGATGGCCTCAACTGGGATCTTGGGTTCATGTCGCACTACAGGTGACCACACCTCACTCTACACTTTCACACATGCAATCTCCCTCCCCCACGATGCCGCGCACACACACTCGCTCTGTCTCGCTGTCTTCTGTGCATGCACACGTGAATCTAAGGGGTAAATTTGTATCTGTAGAATTTATTTGGTTCAAAAAGCACACAATTTATAGACAGTCAGTCAATGCAGTGTTTTATAAATTTCTACTTTAGAAATAAAACCAGTCTGACCCCAAACTAAACCACAGGCAGGCTGTAAACAAGGCTTCGCACCTAACATGCATTGTCTGACCTAAAATGTCACCTCTTAAACCTTTAGTTCTCTCAGGACCATGACTTGAATGGAATTCGGGGATTTATGTATACATATTAAAAAGCTTCTAACTGATTAAAGATTTAACAGCATCTTTGGTTTGTTTAGTACATCCTCATCAATGGTGTGTGAACCTTTGATCTTTTACTTATGAATTCTGTGTCTGATACTACCTCTCTCTCTAACACCTGAAGAAGGACTGAGGCTCCGAAAGCTTGTGTTTTCAAATAAACCTGTTGGGCTAAACCTGGTGGTGTGTGATTTCTGAGACTGATAGAATTCTTGGGGATGAAGGGATTATGGAGTATGGGGCAAGAGTGGAAGCAGAGTGCTGACTTGGAGTGCTGAGAGTCTGATCATATTGAATGGCAGAGCAAGCTTGAAGGGCCAAAGGGCCTACTCCAACTCTTATTTTCCATGTTTCACCAGTTACAGTTATAAGTACAAACTATTCAAATTTATTTTCTCCATCCTTGGCAGAGGCTCATTGTTTCATGGCTCTACCACTAGATTTACAAACTCCTCTTCAGCTTGACATTTGATCAGGATTGATGGTGGTTAAATGTGAAGTGGAAAGAAGCAGCATCAGAAGCTAAAACAGAAATTTCTGGAAAAACTCAGCAGGTGTAGCAGCATCTGTGGAGAAAAAGCAGAATTAATGTTTCGGGTCCAGTGACCCTTCTTCAGAACATGTTTTTTCCAGAAATTTATGTTTTTCTTTGAGTTACAGCATCTGTAGTTACAGCATCTTTTTTATTGTTCAAAAGCAGCATCAGACCAGTGCAGTGCCACTGTCCTCCAAAAAGTGCTGCTGTTTCTTAAATGTGGCCATATCATACAAGTGGTTTGGATCAGCCTATTTGCTCAAGATAATTTGAATAGACACTTGGATAATTTAAAAATCTGCAGTGTGTTGGATACTGATGTTGAAAATTGTTGTGGTGTTCCATCCACTTGATAAGACAGAAACAAAGGCTGGGTGTCCTATATTGGGGAGGTTTACTTTAATTGCTTATTAAATCATCAGCAACAGCTGTCCCTCTATTCAAGGATGGGACCTACTCAGGGTTGTGAGTTTCTGCTTTGGACCTGCATGTGACTGAGTAGGCTGATTCCCAACGCCTAGACCTTTCAGCACATAGGGCATAGGTGTTCCATGAGGTAGTGGAAATGCAGGATTGCTGCTTTTTCCTCTCTTTCTCTTTGCCACCCTCTATCTTGTTGTTAAGACTTTGTGGCACAAAATATGATACATCTTGATGGACAAATTGCCACCATTTTAAATGACTATTAGCATGCTCCTCCTGGCAATTATGTCAATACAATGCTTCAAGAAGAGTTTGGGTGTCTGAGGGTTTTTTTTCCTCGTCCTTCCCAAAATACTGGCAGTTTGAAAGTTGAAGAAACGGGACCTGGTGAAAGAAATGCTTTTCAGCCATCCAGACAGTATCTTGTCTGTCATAGTTAAGTTTGCAGGACTTTGCGTGAATGCCTGTGGGTCTGACTTCAGGAAGGACACTAGTGTTTGTTCAGTGGTCCTCCCATTGAATTTGGAATATGTGGTAGATGCTGTTCAATCTGTCACCTCTGTGCTCAAACTAGGTTAACCGTTATGGATGGTTTCCCATCCATAGGTGACTGTAGCCTTGTTTGTTCTAATCAGCACTAAATTTGTAAGCCACTTGTGATTTCTTCAACTTTAGATACAAGAAACTATACCGGTCCTTGAATGTTGCCGAAACAAACCTCACATCAACGCGTGTTTGGTCAGCCAAATATTCCACTTCCGAAACATGCTGAAAGAGAGGATCCAAAATATATTGAGCACCTCTCATAACCTGGCAGTCAGTGCTCTCAAAAGGCCACCGCTGATAAGGAGATCCAACCCTGGATCAGCTGTGCGAACTCAGCCTTTTACAAACTATGGCAGCAAGTGTTTGACAACACAGACGTCTGCAATAACCCAGTGTACAGAGCAGTTGTCATTGCCATTCTCCCAGACTGTGTAACAGCAACATGTAAGAGTGCTTGAGAAATTCCATCAACCATGCTTGTTAATTAATGAGAGCTTAATTTAAAAGAGTAAGGGCTGGCAACTGTGTTCTAAAGACACTTCCACTTAGATTTTCTCAGCAGGTTTCAAAGTAGTTAAGAACTAATTCCACCCAGCTATTCACCCTTGCCATCAGTCACTGAGAGAAGACAATGTGTCTATTTTTAATTAGACACAGTCCTGCCTGTGCCTAGATTTTGTTGAGCTCCACTTGAGCATCTATGCAGTGCACAGTCAGCTGATTAATTCTCCTTCATGGTTTAAATGTAACGTATATTATCAGGTTTGGTGCATTGGAAGGTTAGGAACAGGTATTAAGTTAGTGAGCACGTTTGAGTGAACAAAACTAAACTTTATGGCAAATAGGAGCCTGACACAGAATGGTGAAGTGCTTATCAAAGTAATAGAAGAATTTCAGTATCAGTTGGGAGGGAGGAGTTAGGAATATGGAGTTGTGTGTTGTGGCCTTAATAATGGATTTGGTGTGAATATGAAGCTCAGATCTAGGTTAAACAGGATTTCATTTGGCCTGGTTCAACCAAGTAAATGTTCTGCTGATACTGATACTTGTAAATCAGAACAGATTATTATTATCGTACCAAACTGCTTCCTTTTGTATATTTTTGTTTGCTCTCTCTGTTTCCTTTGTGTATGTGTGTCTTATTTTTCTTGGATCTTTCCCCTCTTCAGCTGATTTCTTTTTTTAACTTCTCTAAAATCCCTTTTCCCTGTTGTCTTCATTAATTTTTTGCAAGCCAGAAGAATGCTGCTAGGTGATTGCTCTCTATTTTTAAAAGAGACATGATGCCACACCAGTGTTCAGAAAATCCCTGCCTAATAAAACATGAGATTTGGGGGAAAAAAAAACTCCGTTGCAACAGATTCGGTTTCACATGAGGCAGCTAAATTTCAACAATATTTTTTAAGCATGATTTGAAACTAGGTGAAGCAAATCCGATATATCGTGTTCTGGAATAGATAATGATGAATGTGCATAGGTACCTGCCTGGCAGGTTTCAGCCTGTCTATGCGGCAAGACAGGTTTCTTTGCTAATTGCCTCGTGCTTATGTTGCGACTAAACTACAGCATGAAAGCAGACTCTACATAATTATTGCAGCATAAAATATTTTTTACACCGTATTTCTCATCTGTTAAATAGTTCCAACAATAATTATTGATTTTAAAGTCATTGTTATTCAGAATGCAGTTTAAAAACATGACTTGCAATTGTCATAGTGCCAGTGAGTTCTGCAGCACAGAAAAGTTCCCACCGGTCCATTGAGCCTGTGCTGTTCAAAAACAACCACCTAATTATTCCAGTCCCATTTTCCAGCGTTTGGCCTATAACCTTCTATGCCTTGGCATCGCATATGGACATATAAATACTACACAAACGTTTTGAGGGATTCTGCCAAAGTCCCAAATGCCACCTTAACTGATTTACCTACCTATTCTGCTACCTTAAGAGACTAGTGGACGTGCACCCCAAGGTCCCTCTGATCCTCTGCTTCCCAGGTCCCTACTATTTAGGGTGGCAAGGTTAGCACTACTGCCCCACCGTGCTAAGGACTTGGGTTCAATTCCACCCTCGGGAAACTGTGCAAACTCCCCACAATCTTCCTGTGTGTGGATTTCCTTCCACAGTGCAGGCTAGGTGGATTAGCCATGGAAAATACAGGATTAGAGGGATAGGATAGGGGGGTGATTTCTGGGTGCAGTGCTGTTCGGAGGGTTGCTGTGGACTCTGGGCCGAATAGCCTGTTTCCACACTGTAGGGATTCTGTGATTCTTCATGTATTTGTTTGCCCCGCCCAAGATCACCTCTCAGCCTCCGATGCTCCATGGAAAATAGCCCCAGCCTATTCAGCCTTTCCCTTTTAGCTCAAACCCTCCAACCCCGGCAACGTCCTTGTAAATCTTTTCTGAACACTTTCAAGTTTCACAACATCCTTCCTATAGCAGGGAGATAGGAATTGCACACAATATTCCAAAAGTGGCCTAACCAACCTTTATAAAAACATGGGCTTGGATAGGGTAAATGGACCAGGTCTTTTCTCCGGGATGGGGGGAGTCCAAAACTAGACGTCATAGGTTTAAGGTGAGAGGGGAAAGGTTTAAGAAGGATTCCAGGGGCAGTGCAGAGCGTAGTGTATGTATGGAATGAGCTGCCAGAGGAAGTGGTAGAGGCTGGTACAATTAGGATATTTAGAAGGCATCTGGATGGGTATATGAATAGGGGGATATGGGCCAAGTGTTGGTAAATGGGACTAGCTTTATTTATGATATCTGGTCAGCATGGACGACTTGGACCAAAGGGTCTGTTTCCGTGCCAGGCATCTCTATGACTTTGTGACCAAACGCATCACGTCAGAGTGTTTTGGATTGGATTCCATTTGCCCCATCTTTATCCCTCCCAGAATCTAATAACTATTTACCCGTGGTGACCAGAACTGTACACTAATATTCCAAATGTGGCCTAACTAAAGTTCTATACAGCTGTAACGTTTTGCTAATTTTTATACATATGTCCTGACAATGCCATATGCCTTCTTGAGCATCTTATCCACTATTTTGCCGCTTTGAGGGAACTATGGACGCGTATGCCTAGATCCCTCTAAGTTGATGGGATTTGAAGAAGGGTCACTGGACACAAAACATTAATTCTACTTTCTCTCTACAGATGCTGCCAGACCTGCTGAGTTTTATCCAGCAATTTCTGTTTTTGTTTCTGATTTCCAGCATTTGCAGTTATTTCAATTTTTTTTTAAGTTTACTATTATACCAATAAAAGCCATCTTGAAATGGGTAAGTTTTAAATGTTTTCACTGGTAGAAGACTTTTTTAGTTTTGGTAACCAGAGGACGACATGGGTTAAAGGTGATTTAAGAGACAGAAAGGTGAAATATTTTCCTGTTACATGCTGTGATGATTGGAATGCACTTCCTGAAAGGGTTTTGGAAAGATTCAATAGTAAGTTTTTGAAAGGAGAATTAGAGATGTACTCAAAGGGGAGAACTTTGCAGGGCCATGGGTGAACAAGCTTAATTGGATAATTCTTTCAAAGGGCTGGAACAATAGTCTCCTATGTTGTATGATTCTAATATTCCTACTTCCTCCTACAGTTCAAATACTGTTTGTATCCCTTAATCTAAGGCTGCAGAAGCTGGATCTCTGGAAGTTGGAACTAGCCAAATACATCCTTTGGGGGTCACCTGTACCTTTGTTAGATAGCTGAGTAATATCTCAAAGCACTCTTGTGGCCCCAGCTGCAAAGTCATGGGTCTTGCACAAGTTTCTGTGTTTTTATTGAGGTGTGTGGCTTGGGGAAGTCCTTTTTCCGATTTTGCTGCCATTGGCAAATCCCAGCAAGTTTGTTTCTTGATGCAGGTGGCTACAAACCAGTAGCATTGGTCTCACTTGATCTAAAACTCTGTTTGAGTTTCAGATAGCACAAAGCTGTGGGGGATGTTATCACATATATTGGGGATGGGTTAATATTGGTTTATTTGTTTTGTTTTTTGATTTGAACTGGAATCTGTCTTCAGGGTGATGACTGACAGCTCTATGCTTTTCTCTTACAGACAGCTTATCCGCTTATTGACAGTGTAGATCCACATGGGTTCATAATGTATCGTTTGTTCAGGGATGCAACGCGGTATATGAACGGTCACCATGTAAAGGTACTTTTTGACTTCTAAATTTTGTACTAATAACAATTCAGTCTTTGCAACATGGTTGTACAGTACACTGAGGTTTGGTTATAAAATATTTAATTTGTCAATGAACAGTCATGACCACATTGACATGAGTCATACTGGACAATTCAATTGTAGAGCACTTAAGCTGGTGAAGGGAAACTAGTTACTTCCAATTCTTCCTTCAACCTGAATAAAGAGATTTTCAGCTTTTTGCAGTGAGGTAGCTTGATAATATTGATGAGAGGAAGAGGTTATGCGCCCTTTCACTGGCAACTCAAATGAGGATTGAAACATAACGGGACAGGGTTTTAGTGTGAATTTGACTGCTTTGTTGGATAGTGACTGTTTTGTTTAAAATAGATTTTTCACCTTCCTTTCAAACTCTCCTGAAAGAAGTTAATAAAATGGAAATTTCAGGACAAGAGACTCTTGCTGATGGAAATCTGAAAGAGAAATGGGAAATGCTTAGATGGTCCAAAAACATTGTGAAGAGAAAGAAACAGTTGATGTTTCACATTACAGCCTTTCATCGGAATTGAAATGGAGGATCTGAAACATTCACTGCTTCCCCCTCCAAAAGGTTCTGTCAGATCTGCTGAATACTCCAGCATTTCCAAAATCACCGGTATACTCATCAGGAAACAAATACCTAAGGAAGCTGTCAAAGACCCTGAAAAGTTGTGAATGGATTGCTTACCTGCTTGATGCCAGAGACATGTTGCTGATTTTTCTCTCAGCTGTGGTTTGAACTCTGTTGATTCTAAAGACTTCTCACGAAGCCATTTCAGCAAAAGTGCTTTTGTTTTCCTGCTGATGTCACTCTATAGAGTGGCCATCTCTGATTCTCTTTCCCTGTTACCTTGGGCATCATGTGTCATTCTGTCAATGTTCAGAAGTGCAGAAACCCAGATACCAGATACCAAATACCCTAGGCAGGCAGTGTTCAGCCTCCTCCCTGTCTTTATGATGCTAAATCAGAAGCTTTTAGCCAAAAAGCAGATTTGCAGGGAGTATTTTTCTGTGTCTGTGATCTGATTGTTTATCAGGGGTGAAGAATAGATCCTAGGTTAGCTTCAGTCATTAACTATGTTCACTTGACTGGGGAACTGGTGACTGAGTTCTGCAGAGGTTGGAACCTTCAGTTAAGGTAGTGAGTGAAACAAAAAAACAACAGTCTTTAATTTTTAATGCTGCAGACATTCACTGGTCTGTAAATGGTTAAAGCCCACAGCAAAGCTCTGTATCCCATCTGCCTGATGCCTCTGCCATCAATTCCACAGTACCTGCAGCACAATATTTACAAAGCAAAGGTTTATCAAGGGGCAGCATGGGATGGATTGTGAATTGCCCTGTGCTCTGTAATCTGAGATCCTCCAAAATGACCATGCCCACAATAGTATGTGTGGCCTGCATTACTGCAAGCCTTCTGCCTCGCCTCCCACCTCCCATCTGTTGTTCTGTGGCACCCAGGGAGTCTTTCGGAGCACACACCATCCCCTTGGGCCTCCTGAAAAAGACTGGGGTTTGCCGAGAGCAACAGCAATGACGGACCTGCTGTGCAGTTAAGATTACGATAGTTTAAAGGCTGCTGGTACTGTAACCACAGTGTTAGAGACTGATTTCCCCAAAGGGCCTTTTCATTTCCAGATGAAAGACATGGGTAGTCCTAGCCACAAGTGCTTAATTGCATATCAATGTCTCCGTAGTGTTTGTGGCATTTTAGAAAGTAATGTCGAATAGTCCTAGTCTCTTGTTTGTCTCACTCCTCTGCTTTTACTTTGGCCTTGCTAATGCTCTTAATGCAAGGCTTTTTTTAAAATCCTAACTCCACTCTTTTTCTCTGCTGTTTTTGGTCGCTAGTTTTTCCTTTCTGTAGTAAATGCATTACTTCTGTTCTCTAGGAAGGTTGAGAAGCTTTTAACTGTAGTCTGGGTTAATTATTTGCCTTCATTTTGACTTCATCTTCTGGATTACAATGTTTGTTTCAAATTCAATTCTAATTATAATACTCTAGGGGAGGGTGGTGTGGATGCAGATGCATGCATGATAAACCTAAGTTTTCCCAAAATAAGCCTGTTCGTAGAAATGTAAATTGAATGATCAAGATCAATTGCTGGTATTATACTGTGTGGAAAATTGATAGAGTTGAGTGGAAAAAACCTTTCTCTGCGGTTTCCTTCCTCCTTTATATGTGTTGCCTTTTTCTCATAATAGTAATGTGGGCGTTGCCATGTTTTGGTATCATGTGACATTGTCTTCTAATAGATAACATGAGCAGTGAATGTTGGCAGACTATTTTTTTTGTAAGAAGGATCACAACTAAACAATTTTTAATCCTCACCATTACCTGCATTTGCATCAGGGTCATCAGATAACCATCTTAGACAAGACCTTGGTTGATTAGATTGACCCATGTGAAATCAACTAATTTCATAGAATCACAAAATGATCACCCCACAGAAGGAGACTGTTCAGCCCATTGGTCTACAGTTCTCTGCAAGACCAATTTGCCTAGTAACACAGCCCCACCATTCTGTAATGTTTGCTGTCTCCAGGTAATGTTGGTTCTCTTTTGCAAGTTTTTGTTGAATCTGTGTCCACCACACAGAGGTCATGCATTCCAGATTCTGCATAAAATGGTTTCTCCTCCTTTTGCCATTGCTTCTATAACCATGCAGGCCTCGGATAACTAGGGCATTATGATCGGTTCTGATGTAATTGCACACCACAGGGTTGTGCCTGAACAGAGCCAGGGCTAGCATCCTTGTTGCGCATTTTGTTATAATGGCACTGGATTAGGAAATATTAAATTATTCAATCAGGTCATAGTACTAGGAAGGTAATAAAGTCTAAGTAAGGTTTATTGTGTGTGCCTATAAATGTGTGGAGCATGGCAAATAAAGTGGTAAGCTGTGGGTGCAGATAAATGTGGAAATATGATGTGTTGATAATTGGGACCTCCTTCAAAAACCAGGCAGGACTGGGTACACAATGTTCTGGATCAAATGGGTTCTGGTAAGGAGTGGTAGCTCCTTGATTAAAGAGACCAGTACAATGTTAGAGACCAGTTGAGGATCGTATCTATTTGGTAAGAAATAAAGGGATGTTATTATATTGCTTAGTGTAGTTTATAGGCCACTAATTAATGGGAAGAATATAAAGAAATAAAGTTGCAAGGATATTGCAGAGTTACAAGAATTGGAGTAGTTATAATGGAAGACTATATTATCCTCATGTAGACTGAGATAATAATGCAGAAAGCAAAGAATGGCAAGAATCTCCAGAATAGATGCAGGAGAATTTTCTGCGTATGTTGCCGCACCTATGAGGAAGGTTGCTGGATCTGCTTCCAAGGAATGAGGTTGACCAAGTGTCGGTAAGAGAACAGAGTGACCACAGTATCAAAGGTTTTGATTAGCTATGGAAAACAGCAAGATGAAATTTAGAGCAAAACAATTAATTTATAGCTGAAAATGAGCTGCCTTTTAAAGAAACGGTTTGGATGCAGTCATGATTCATTTCATAAGGGAGCTCCCAGGATGAAGGAAGTGATGGAGGGTAAAGTGAAGCAGGAGAAAGGATCAAAAAAGTACGTACAAAAATAAAGTAGCAGTCTGATGTTTGGTTCCTTGAGCCTACTCTGCCATTCAGTAAGACCCCAGCTGATTTGATAGTAACTTCAAAGCTGCATTTGATTTGATTTATTATCACGTGTACCTCAATACAGTGAAAAGCTTTCTTTACAGCAATACAGGCAGATCATAGCAAGCAAGGATGTACATGTCATAGGGTGAAGAAAATAACTTACACAGAGGCATACAGGTTACTTCACACAGGGCGTGCACTAGAGAACGAGAACAAAAGAGAAATACAGCATAGGAACATGCCCTTTCACCATCCAAGCCTGTGCCAGTCGTCATGCCCTGACTAAACCTTAAAAAAAAAAAAAAACCTTCTACCCTTATTCGGTCCATATCCCTCTATTCCCTCCCTATTCGTATAACAATCCACATGCCTCTCAAATGTTGCCAACATGTCTGCTTCCACCACTACCTCTGGCAGTGCATTCCAGGCTCCTAACATTCTGCGTGAAAATCTTCCCTCACATATCTCCATTAAACTCTCCCCCTCTCATCTTGAATCTGTGCCCCCTTGTAATTGAAACTTCAATCCTGGGAAGAAGGCCTCTGACCATCCACCCTATCTATAGAACATAGAACATTACAGCACAGTACAGGCCCTTCGGCCCTCGATGTTGCGCCGACCTGTGAAACCAATCTGAAGCCCATCTAACCTAAACTATTCCATTATCATCCATATGTTTATCCAATGACCATTTAAATGCCCTTAAAGTTGGCAAGTCTACTACTTTTGCAGGCAGGGCATTCCACGCCCTTACTACTCTCTGAGTAAAGAACCTACCTCTGACATCTGTCCTATATCTATCACCCCTCAATTTAAAGCTATGTCCCCTCGTGCTAGCCACCACCATCCGAGGAAAAAGGCTCCCATTGTCCACCCTATCTAATCCTCTGATCATCTTGTATGTCTCTATCAAGTCACCTCTTAACCTTCTTCTCTCTAACGAAAACAGCCTCAAGTCCCTCAGCCTTTCCTCATAAGACCTTCCCTCCATACCAGGCAACATCCTGGTAAATCTCCTCTGCACCCTTTCCAATGCTTCCACATCCTTCCTACAATGCGGTGACCAGAACTGTACGCAATACTCCAAGTGCAGCCGCACCAGAGTTTTGTACAGCTGCAACATGACTTCATGGCTCCGAAACTCAATCCCTCTACCAATAAAACCTAACACACCATACGCCTTCTTAACAACCCTATCAACCTGGGTGGCAACTTTCAGGGATCTATGCACATGGACACCGAGATCTCTCTGCTCATCCACACTACCAAGAATCTTACCATTAGCCCAGTACTCTGTATTCCTGTTACTCCTTCCAAAGTGAATCATCTCACACTTC